ACAACTGGGATTGTCTGCTGGTCTTCCCGTGTGCAAGCAAACTGCCAAAAATTACACTTTCCCTATGGGAACAGTCCCTCACGTCGAAATCCGACATTCCGGCTTGGGAAGACATAAACACCTTCCTAAGCGAAAAGTATCGCACATTGGAGTTATTTTATGCGGGTCCTAGAACAGCTACGCATGATTGCACACGGGGTGGGGGGTCATTAGTCACGCATGACTGCGCACGGTGGGTGCAGGTGTCCTAATTAGCATCAAAAACTAATTAATTTTTAAAGGGAAGGGGTTGAGGGTAAGATCCTCCAACTCATTTTTGTATGCATGCATGTGCATGTTTGTGTGTTGTTAAGCATGAGAAATTGATTGGGAGGGGTTAAGGGGATAAGGTGTGTGTGTTCAAACATGGGAAGTTGTGAGATTTTGTGAAGGAGGGAGGGACTATACATAATGCGTAGGAATTTTTTAGGGTTTGTTATTGTGCGTATCCGGCTTGTGTTAATGTGTTTAGGTAGGGGGAAGTTATTTAAATTAGGATAGCAGGTGTGCAAGTCACCCCAGTTTGTTAACTTGTCTAAACGTGTAATACCTTGTAACGGTTTGTTTCTGTTGTCATGCGTGAGAATTTGTGAGATCGTGTGGTGAAGGATGGAATGAGTTCTCATGCTTGTTTGAGGGGTGTGGGTATGGAATTTCTAGGTATGAACAGCGAGAGTTGTTGTGAGACATGCTTACCTGTTGATCTATCAAAAAGAAGAATCGATCGGTTGTGCTTTGTTTCGCTCCGCAGTTGTTTTTACTTATTAAAACAAAACAATTAATATAAATTGCTTGGTTTCATTTATAAACACTTTAAGTACGTGCGTGTTCAGTATTCTATGGTAAAATCAATCTGTAAAAGTGAATCAAGATATTAATTACAAATTGTGAAAAGTTAGCTTTGTCACACATATTTTCGTACATATACACTGATTAATACACCACAAAACAAATACACCGAAACCGATACACCAACACACCAAAATCGCTACACTCAACAACAAAACAAAAGAAACTGGGAATATGTCTACGTCCACTGCATCCAAACGCCTTCGCAGCAACGCTGGAACCGCAAATGACCGCCTTTTCGATGCCCCCTCGTCTCAGATTCTGGATCTGCTTAAGGTGCGCTTCCAGAGCAGACGGATGAGATAACTGCCTTCGTAAGGGAAACGGAGAAACGCATACTAAGTATTCTCTCGGACAGACTGGATTCCATTGCGGGTGCGGTGAAGCAAACTGGAGAACGGGTATCTCGCCTTGAGCGGGACCTTCACATACGTGGAATCCCATATGTTGAGGGTGAAAACCTAAAAACACTATTTCACACTCTGTGTTTTTCAATACACATAACCGCACCACCGCGGGTTCGGCACATTTTCCGGGCCCGTAAAACACAAAGAACAAATGTCGACCCGTTCATTATTGTTAAGTTGGATAACTTGCGAGAAAAGATTGGGCTACTGAAAATAATTGCAGCGTACCGACGGGAAAATAAAATGCAACTGAGCTTAAAGCACGTGGGTATCGACTCTAATGCTCTGATCTATGTAAATGAGCAGCTTTTAAGAGAAAATTACATAATCTTCAATGAAGCAATTCGATTAAAAAAGCACAAGTTTTTGACCGCAGAATTTACCCGACGCACAGTAGCGCCTCTCGAACAATTAGCGTTGCAAAAATCAAAAAAGTCATGTTCGCAAAAACGATTTTAGCCATACTTATTCGACAGGAAATTTAACAAGGATTCAGAATCTGCAATATAATCAATTTTAAGATTTTTTTTGTAGAAGTTATGAGCATTTAAAGTTTAACTTTGCTTCGTTTTTTGCATCATACAAAAAAAAATGTGTAAATTGGTCGACTTTCAGGTAATATTACAAAAAAACCATAAAACCAATGGTCATGGTTTTTACTTTAAATGATAGATACATTCATAAACTACACAGGAACACAAAATTAAACTTTGTGAAATTTCCACGAACCATTTCAAGTTTTCCATGATATTTGGGTGCTCCTGAGTAAAAGTCCCATACAAAATTATTTTCCATCACCTACAGGTTCCGCGGTATACCTAAGAATACAAAAAACCTATGTTTGCCGACATTTTGAATTACGTGGCCTATATAATTGGACTTACCTTTATTATTTTCGGTAGGACCTACTCTCAATACATCACGGCACTACTGAAAAATAGTCCCAATCGTGGACCCTTGCCCATGTCTTTGGAATTCGACGCCAAAGTTGAAACTCCCAAAATTTTCAACATTTCTGTGATGAAAAAACAATTCTGAGAATTAAATCTTATATGGAACTAATTTTAAATATTCATTGAATCTATTGTTCATTGTATTCTTTAATTTCGGTTTAAAGCGTTTTCATGAGGACATTTTATTGGATTTATTAAACGAATAAAACCGCTTTTTTGGTTTGATTATCTACTACTATTTTCTGTCAAAATTCAAATAAGTCAAGGCAACCTATAGAATGCGAGTAAATATGTATCTTTTTATGTATAATATAAATTTAGATTTTTTACTCGCATTCTATATGTTGCCTTGACTTATTTGAATTTTGACAGAAAATAGTAGTAGATAATCAAATCCCTTACGCTCTACTCGAGCGAAAAACTGAAAAAAATTATGAATCTGTGCTCTCGCTCTTAACAGCCGACGTCGTTTCTCTTTGCTTTGGTTTTCTGTTTATTGCTTTACGTTAGCTGTTCGTAAGGCGCGCTCTTCTACCGCTCTTTTACCGAGGACTGATGCGAGCGATTTTCAAAAGACCGATTCACTGAAAAGGTCGGCGCAAATGATCTTTTACGGGAATATGTTTTTTTTTACGTTAGATCTTCTTGTAATTTTTAAACAGTATCAAACAAATAATGAAGTGTTCGTTTAATTCATTTATTCTGAATTAAGTTTAATAACTAATAATGCGTTTAGGTTGTCCGAATTAATTGAACTACATCGTTCACTTATGGGGGGACATCTGAGTAACTTTTTTTAAAAATCGAAAAAATTTTTTTTTGCTTAAAAAATACTTTAGGGTCTTCAAAATAACATATCAAAAGATAGAGTCCGGCAAATGTGTCTGTGTCGAAATTTTCCATTCTGCGGCGATGCCTCTCATGTAAATATATACGATTTTAAAACTTTAAACGCGTTTTTCTCAAAACCACTTTTTTTGAGTTGGCCGAAAACATAACTCGAACAAATCTTAACCGATCGATCTGAAATTTTGACAGTATATCCAAAATACCTATGGCTATCGACACACGTAGGATTTTTTTTTGCTTACTTTTTTTTATCAACAATTTTGTGACGTTTATTTTTCCTGGAAATTGAAAATTTTATTTAATCACTCACCATTTTGCTAAAAATCAAAATATCGAAAAAATCCTACGTGTGTCGATAGCGGTTGAGATACAGAAACTATTAATTAAAAGAGGTTCTCAGAAGCTTCTGTTTTCTTAAAAAAGGAACTGCGCGATGAATCCAGAAATATCTCCTCAATCCCGTTTATTCAGCACCCATCCAGTATATAGTTTTAATCACGTTTTAAACAAGTTCAATATTTCCTTTTATTTCAATTCTTTTCGTTGCACTGCACTTTATTTTATTTAATAAAAATCAGATAAACACGTCTTCTCTCTCAGAAGAATAAAACAGGAAGAGGAAGAGACCACGCAGAATAGTGTGGACATGATACAATTATACAAGGTAGTCCCGTCGGCTGCTGAAATCGTTCGGATTTTCAGTGCGTGCTCGCTTGTTGAAGGGAAAGGTTGTGTGCGGACGCATTTTTTTTCGAGTTTTTAACCCTTAGTTGGAAATGACTTTTTGCAACTGTTGCCGACGGCATGTGCACGGCGTGAAATTTTTAATTTAAACTCGTTTTATTGTATAATTATTAAAAATAAAATTACTAAAAATATTCCAACTCGTTTTATTACAGAATTATTAAATATAAAATAATATTACAAAATATTCAAACTCGTTTTATTATAGAAAGCGACTTCAACCCTCATCCGAAACCTAAGGGTTAAAACTCACACTCTATTGTCGTCCCACTCGCACTCATTAGTCTGAACTGCTCTCACTCGCACTCATTGTTATAAGTTGTAGTGTACCAGATGTTGCCGACGGGACCATGATAGAATTATACAAGGTAGTCCCGTCGGCAACATCTGGTACACTACAACTTATAACAATGAGTGCGAGTGAGAGCAGTTCAGACTAATGAGTGCGAGTGGGACGACAATAGAGTGTGAGTTTTAACCCTTAGGTTTCGGGTGGGGGTTGAAGTCGCTTTCTATAATAAAACGAGTTTGAATATTTTGTAATATTATTTTATATTTAATAATTCTGTAATAAAACGAGTTGGAATATTTTTTGTAATTTTATTATTAATAATTATACAATAAAACGAGTTTAAATTAAAAATTTCACGCCGTGCACATGCCGTCGGCAACATTTGCAAAAAGTTATTTCCAACTAAGGGTTAAAAACTCGAAAAAATGCGTCCGCACACAACCTTTCCCTTCAACAAGCGAGCACGCACTGAAAATCCGAACGATTTCAGCAGCCGACGGGACTACCTTGTATAATTGTATCATGGACGGGACTACCTTGTATAATTCTATCATGAGTGTGGACATCTCCTATTAGTTGTGTTTTTGCCACGACACACTAATATCGATATCAAGTGTGTTCTTCAAATAATATATCGATATTAGGGGTCTTCTAACACACCTCCTCAAAAACATAACTAATAGTTTGTTATTTATATATTAAGATTAAATCAAACTTGAGCAATAAGGCAGGCTCTGGGAAATTACAATATGGTTCAACATTCGTTGCTTGGATTGAGGGAAAACCCAGAAAAACCTCAATCAAACCAGTTTGAAATTAGAAATTACGTTATACAATATTTCTTAGCAAAATAAAAAAATTTAAAAAAAATTATTTTGGTTCAGTCCATATCCATGAGATCCTTTTCTCCTACATTTGATTAATCCATCAAACTCATTTGGTTTCGCAATTCACAAAACCGTGGCGCTGGTATCGGTTTTGTTAGCATATCCGCTAGTTGTTTATCTGTGGGAATATATAGAAGTTCAATTAGATTCTTTTCTATTTGTTCCCTTGTAAAATGATATTTTATATCTATATGTTTTGTTCGTTTATGGCATGAAGGGTTTTTTGGCAATACATATACAACCTTGATTATCCTCATATATCTTAATTGGATTTTCTATTTTAAGTTTTAAGCTAGTCAATAAAGAATTTAGCCAAATTGCCTCCCTTACTGCTTCAAACAATGCCATATACTCAGCTTCTGTTGAAGAAGCAGCTACTGAACTCTGTTTTCTCGTATTCCAACAAATCATATTCGAATCAAACATTTTAAAGATATACCCAGTTGTGCTTTTCCTGTCTGACTCACTGCCTCCCCAATCTGAATCTACGTACCCTACCAAAATGTTATTAAAATGTTTATTTCTTTGAAAAATTAATTTCAAATCTATTGTACCCTTTAGATATCTTAAAATTCTCTTAAGGCATTGCCACAACTCTATACTATTATTTTCACAGTAACGACTTAAAAGATTTATTGATGCACTCAGATCTGGTCTTGTACATATCATAATGTACATCAAACATCCTATTAGATTTCGACAAGGTGCATCGCATTTTTCATCTGAATTTAAGGCCATATGATTAAGCTTATTGGGAAGAGGACATTTTACTGGATTGCAATTTTCCATATTAAATTTTAAAATAGTATTCTTTATATATGCAGATTGACTTAACTTTATTTGATCTTTAGTTCTATCTACTTTTATACCTAAGAAAAATTTAATTTCATTTAAATCTGTCATTCTAAACTTATTCATTAGATATGATTTAAAATTTTTCATAGTTTCTTTATTCTTTGTTGATATTACCAAGTCATCTACATATAATAGAGCATAAATATTTGAAGATATATCTCCTTTATCAAGAAGATATATACATCGATCTACTGGTGAATTAACAAAACCAATTTCTTTCAGTACTAGCTCAAATTTATCGAACCAGCACCTTGCAGCTTGTTTTAAACCATATATTGCCTTATTTAATTTACAAACTTCATTTTTCTCATTTACCAGACCATCCGGTATTTTCATATAAATTTCTTCTTTAAGTGTACCATTCAAAAAGGCTGTTTTAACGTCCATATGGTGTACCATAAGATCATACTGATTAGCAATAGATATAATCAGTCTAAAACTAGAAATTCTTGCTACAGGTGCAAAGGTTTCATTATAGTCAATTAAGTATTCTTGTGTAAAGCCCCGAGCCACGAGTCTCGCCTTATATTTAATCGGATGACCAAATTCATTCCGTTTTATTGTAAATACCCATTTACAATCCACAACATTTTTATTTTCGGGTAATTGCATAAGTGTCCAAGTGTTATTTAGTAAGTGTGAATCTAACTCTTCATTTATTGCCTCTTCCCATTTTTCTTTATCACCTCTATTCTTTATTTCATTAAATGAAGTTGGTAGATTATCTAATGAACACTGAGCATTCATTACACAATTATTTAACATATCCCAATAAGACAATTTCGGCTTATTCCTTATCCGTTCACTTTTTCGAATTGTTTCATCATTTATCTTTGAATCATTTGATTCAACATCACCAGATACATCTGGATCGGCATTCTTTTCTGTTACCATCTTTCTTTGACTTCCATCTGAAACTCCATCAGAACCGTCACTATCAATTTCCAATTGATCATCAATTTGATTGATTTTATTGAAATCATCATCTAAACATTCGATAATCCCATTATCGAAATCAATGATTTCTTCACTTAACTCAACTCTTGAGTTTATCATGTTATTTTCATCAAAAATAACATCTCTAGCAACTGAAAATCTTCCTGATTTTCCATCCCACACCTTATATCCATTCGGTTCATATCCAACTAATATACCCTTCCACGATTTCTCATCAAACTTTCTTTTTCTAATTTTCTTGTGGATGTACACAGTTGAACCGAAAATTCTCAAATATTTGAGACAGGGCTTTCTACTATGCCACATTTCATAAGGGGTTTTCTTGCTTTCATTTAATGCATTGGTTGGGACTCGATTAATTAAGTATGTAGCTGTCAAAACAGCTTCACCCCAAAACTCCTTCTGCAATTTCGCACCACTAATTAAAGTGCGTGCTTTCTCTGTAATGGATCTTATCATCCTTTCGGATACACCATTCAATTGCGGAGTATGTGGGACTGTAAGATGGTAACTAATGCCTTTTTCTACACAATATTCTCGCATATCATTAGATAGATACTCTCTTCCATTGTCAATATATAAATTAACCAATTTTAAATTAAAATGTGCTTCACTTTTAGCGATGAAATCCTTAAATACAGAGAATACATCAGATTTATAAGTTAATAGGTATGTGACACAATAGTGGGTATATTGGTCAACGAAAATAACGTAATAATTCTTTTTATCAATTGTCGCAGGGGAAATCGGACCACAGACATCTGAGTGGACAACAAATAATGGTCTATTAATATAATCTTTATTTTTAAATCTTTCAAATTTTAGTCTAGCTTGTTTGCCGCTAATACAGGCTTCACATATGTCGTCATTAGGTTTTATATCTTTAAGCATCTCAATATCTCCGAACATATTATGTGATTTCATTTCTAAACATTTTCCCTTACTTATGTGCCCTAATCGTTCATGCCATAACTTATAATTATTAGTTTTAACAGAATTTGAAAGAAATCCCCTATTTAGACTTGAGAGGTTAATTATAGGAACATTATCTAAACATTTACCATTTATTAAAATTTCATCAGCTTTACTAATAGAGACACCTCCTGGATGAAACAAGATTGTTAATCCAGCATCCTGCATTTTCTTTACTGACAAGAGATTGTGTGGAACATCTGAACAAAACAAAACATTTTTCAAAATAACTCTCGCTTCAGAATTAGTGAACAATTCCACTGTGCCAATTTTTGTTGCATTTATAAATTGGCCACACTTCGCCACTGCAATTTTTATAGGCGTTTCCAAAATCGTATAACTTTTATATAAACCCTCGTCATTAATTAAGTGGTCAGATGCTCCTGAATCCAGAAGAAATGAAATTTGTTTTTCTTGTTCTACTTCACGTTTAAACATGAACGCAAATCCGGAACGATTCGAATCAGATGAAGCTTCTGCCATTTGTGCATGTTTGTTTTTGTCGTTATTATTTTCTTTCTCTTTCTCCCTCAAATATATGTAGCAATCTTTCTTAAAGTGCCCACTTTTGCCACAATGGAAACATTTTTTAATATTCAATTTATTTTTAAAGTGTAGTTTTGATTTCTGCTTAAAATTTATGTTTTTGTTTTGAAAATTATTGGGTCTAATGTTTCTTTTGACTGCTTGTAAAACTTTTAGACTTGTATCTTTACTAGCATTTTTTAATTTTATTTCATGGTCCAAAAGTCTATTCTTTACAAACGCCAATGTAAGAGTATTTTCGGATAAAGTTTCAATCGCAGTAGTTACACCGTCGTATGACGAAGGAAGTGTTAAGAGTAAGTGAGAAACCTTATCTAATTCTTCCAATTTCGCTCCAGCAGCAAGCAACTCAGTTACTAAATCGTCAAAAACTGTAAAGTGATTTAGTAATGGCGTATCGGCTTTTAGCTTTAATGATAATAACTGTTTACGGACAGACAACTGCGACGCTAAGCTTTTTCTTTCATATATTGCATCCAAATTCTGCAGAATTTCTTTTGCACTACACTCTGTTGTTGCAAAACTGAGGAACGAATCGGATAAATATTCTATTATTATACTTTTCACCGTTTTTTTTCTAGTTTATTCCACTCCTCAATATTTTCACCACATGTTCCGTCTATAACCTTAATGGCGTCGGTTTCACTGAGAAGTGCTCTTACTCGGAATTTCCAGATAGAGTATTTCTCTCCATCGCACAGTGGCCGATTTGGCTGTTCTAGCGGCAGATTAAGAATATTTTCAACTGTTAAAATTAATAAAAGTTTTATTCTCTATCGATAGTAATATAATCATACATACAAAAAAAATACTAAAACCGATCATAGCGATTAACTAGATCAGATATTAACAATCAAAGTCAACATATGGTAGCACACTATTTTTCAGAGCTTATACCTCGGTTGCTGCACTCTATTTTATATTTGCGAAATTTTTTTAGATTTCACCTTTTTGAAACAAGTTCTTCATTTTCTTAAAGCTTAAGGTATGTAGAATAAGAAAATTAATGTTTTGTGACCTGTGAGTAGATGTTGTATTTGTAGTTTATGTTTAAAACCATCAATGTTTGTAGGGGGAGGGAGGGACTATACATAATGCGTAGGAATTTTTTAGGGTTTGTTATTGTGCGTATCCGGCTTGTGTTAATGTGTTTAGGTAGGGGGAAGTTATTTAAATTAGGATAGCAGGTGTGCAAGTCACCCCAGTTTGTTAACTTGTCTAAACGTGTAATACCTTGTAACGGTTTGTTTCTGTTGTCATGCGTGAGAATTTGTGAGATCGTGTGGTGAAGGATGGAATGAGTTCTCATGCTTGTTTGAGGGGTGTGGGTATGGAATTTCTAGGTATGAACAGCGAGAGTTGTTGTGAGACATGCTTACCTGTTGATCTATCAAAAAGAAGAATCGATCGGTTGTGCTTTGTTTCGCTCCGCAGTTGTTTTTACTTATTAAAACAAAACAATTAATATAAATTGCTTGGTTTCATTTATAAACACTTTAAGTACGTGCGTGTTCAGTATTCTATGGTAAAATCAATCTGTAAAAGTGAATCAAGATATTAATTACAAATTGTGAAAAGTTAGCTTTGTCACACATATTTTCGTACATATACACTGATTAATACACCACAAAACAAATACACCGAAACCGATACACCAACACACCAAAATCGCTACACTCAACAACAAAACAAAAGAAACTGGGAATATGTCTACGTCCACTGCATCCAAACGCCTTCGCAGCAACGCTGGAACCGCAAATGACCGCCTTTTCGATGCCCCCTCGTCTCAGATTCTGGATCTGCTTAAGGTGCGCTTCCAGAGCAGACGGATGAGATAACTGCCTTCGTAAGGGAAACGGAGAAACGCATACTAAGTATTCTCTCGGACAGACTGGATTCCATTGCGGGTGCGGTGAAGCAAACTGGAGAACGGGTATCTCGCCTTGAGCGGGACCTTCACATACGTGGAATCCCATATGTTGAGGGTGAAAACCTAAAAACACTATTTCACACTCTGTGTTTTTCAATACACATAACCGCACCACCGCGGGTTCGGCACATTTTCCGGGCCCGTAAAACACAAAGAACAAATGTCGACCCGTTCATTATTGTTAAGTTGGATAACTTGCGAGAAAAGATTGGGCTACTGAAAATAATTGCAGCGTACCGACGGGAAAATAAAATGCAACTGAGCTTAAAGCACGTGGGTATCGACTCTAATGCTCTGATCTATGTAAATGAGCAGCTTTTAAGAGAAAATTACATAATCTTCAATGAAGCAATTCGATTAAAAAAGCACAAGTTTTTGACCGCAGAATTTACCCGACGCACAGTAGCGCCTCTCGAACAATTAGCGTTGCAAAAATCAAAAAAGTCATGTTCGCAAAAACGATTTTAGCCATACTTATTCGACAGGAAATTTAACAAGGATTCAGAATCTGCAATATAATCAATTTTAAGATTTTTTTTGTAGAAGTTATGAGCATTTAAAGTTTAACTTTGCTTCGTTTTTTGCATCATACAAAAAAAAATGTGTAAATTGGTCGACTTTCAGGTAATATTACAAAAAAACCATAAAACCAATGGTCATGGTTTTTACTTTAAATGATAGATACATTCATAAACTACACAGGAACACAAAATTAAACTTTGTGAAATTTCCACGAACCATTTCAAGTTTTCCATGATATTTGGGTGCTCCTGAGTAAAAGTCCCATACAAAATTATTTTCCATCACCTACAGGTTCCGCGGTATACCTAAGAATACAAAAAACCTATGTTTGCCGACATTTTGAATTACGTGGCCTATATAATTGGACTTACCTTTATTATTTTCGGTAGGACCTACTCTCAATACATCACGGCACTACTGAAAAATAGTCCCAATCGTGGACCCTTGCCCATGTCTTTGGAATTCGACGCCAAAGTTGAAACTCCCAAAATTTTCAACATTTCTGTGATGAAAAAACAATTCTGAGAATTAAATCTTATATGGAACTAATTTTAAATATTCATTGAATCTATTGTTCATTGTATTCTTTAATTTCGGTTTAAAGCGTTTTCATGAGGACATTTTATTGGATTTATTAAACGAATAAAACCGCTTTTTTGGTTTGATTATCTACTACTATTTTCTGTCAAAATTCAAATAAGTCAAGGCAACCTATAGAATGCGAGTAAATATGTATCTTTTTATGTATAATATAAATTTAGATTTTTTACTCGCATTCTATATGTTGCCTTGACTTATTTGAATTTTGACAGAAAATAGTAGTAGATAATCAAATCCCTTACGCTCTACTCGAGCGAAAAACTGAAAAAAATTATGAATCTGTGCTCTCGCTCTTAACAGCCGACGTCGTTTCTCTTTGCTTTGGTTTTCTGTTTATTGCTTTACGTTAGCTGTTCGTAAGGCGCGCTCTTCTACCGCTCTTTTACCGAGGACTGATGCGAGCGATTTTCAAAAGACCGATTCACTGAAAAGGTCGGCGCAAATGATCTTTTACGGGAATATGTTTTTTTTTACGTTAGATCTTCTTGTAATTTTTAAACAGTATCAAACAAATAATGAAGTGTTCGTTTAATTCATTTATTCTGAATTAAGTTTAATAACTAATAATGCGTTTAGGTTGTCCGAATTAATTGAACTACATCGTTCACTTATGGGGGGACATCTGAGTAACTTTTTTTAAAAATCGAAAAAATTTTTTTTTGCTTAAAAAATACTTTAGGGTCTTCAAAATAACATATCAAAAGATAGAGTCCGGCAAATGTGTCTGTGTCGAAATTTTCCATTCTGCGGCGATGCCTCTCATGTAAATATATACGATTTTAAAACTTTAAACGCGTTTTTCTCAAAACCACTTTTTTTGAGTTGGCCGAAAACATAACTCGAACAAATCTTAACCGATCGATCTGAAATTTTGACAGTATATCCAAAATACCTATGGCTATCGACACACGTAGGATTTTTTTTGCTTACTTTTTTTATCAACAATTTTGTGACGTTTATTTTTCCTGGAAATTGAAAATTTTATTTAATCACTCACCATTTTGCTAAAAATCAAAATATCGAAAAAATCCTACGTGTGTCGATAGCGGTTGAGATACAGAAACTATTAATTAAAAGAGGTTCTCAGAAGCTTCTGTTTTCTTAAAAAAGGAACTGCGCGATGAATCCAGAAATATCTCCTCAATCCCGTTTATTCAGCACCCATCCAGTATATAGTTTTAATCACGTTTTAAACAAGTTCAATATTTCCTTTTATTTCAATTCTTTTCGTTGCACTGCACTTTATTTTATTTAATAAAAATCAGATAAACACGTCTTCTCTCTCAGAAGAATAAAACAGGAAGAGGAAGAGACCACGCAGAATAGTGTGGACATGATACAATTATACAAGGTAGTCCCGTCGGCTGCTGAAATCGTTCGGATTTTCAGTGCGTGCTCGCTTGTTGAAGGGAAAGGTTGTGTGCGGACGCATTTTTTTCGAGTTTTTAACCCTTAGTTGGAAATGACTTTTTTGCAACTGTTGCCGACGGCATGTGCACGGCGTGAAATTTTTAATTTAAACTCGTTTTATTGTATAATTATTAAAAATAAAATTACTAAAAATATTCCAACTCGTTTTATTACAGAATTATTAAATATAAAATAATATTACAAAATATTCAAACTCGTTTTATTATAGAAAGCGACTTCAACCCTCATCCGAAACCTAAGGGTTAAAACTCACACTCTATTGTCGTCCCACTCGCACTCATTAGTCTGAACTGCTCTCACTCGCACTCATTGTTATAAGTTGTAGTGTACCAGATGTTGCCGACGGGACCATGATAGAATTATACAAGGTAGTCCCGTCGGCAACATCTGGTACACTACAACTTATAACAATGAGTGCGAGTGAGAGCAGTTCAGACTAATGAGTGCGAGTGGGACGACAATAGAGTGTGAGTTTTAACCCTTAGGTTTCGGGTGGGGGTTGAAGTCGCTTTCTATAATAAAACGAGTTTGAATATTTTGTAATATTATTTTATATTTAATAATTCTGTAATAAAACGAGTTGGAATATTTTTTGTAATTTTATTTTTAATAATTATACAATAAAACGAGTTTAAATTAAAAATTTCACGCCGTGCACATGCCGTCGGCAACATTTGCAAAAAGTTATTTCCAACTAAGGGTTAAAAACTCGAAAAAAAATGCGTCCGCACACAACCTTTCCCTTCAACAAGCGAGCACGCACTGAAAATCCGAACGATTTCAGCAGCCGACGGGACTACCTTGTATAATTGTATCATGGACGGGACTACCTTGTATAATTCTATCATGAGTGTGGACATCTCCTATTAGTTGTGTTTTTGCCACGACACACTAATATCGATATCAAGTGTGTTCTTCAAATAATATATCGATATTAGGGGTCTTCTAACACACCTCCTCAAAAACATAACTAATAGTTTGTTATTTATATATTAAGATTAAATCAAACTTGAGCAATAAGGCAGGCTCTGGGAAATTACAATATGGTTCAACATTCGTTGCTTGGATTGAGGGAAAACCCAGAAAAACCTCAATCAAACCAGTTTGAAATTAGAAATTACGTTATACAATATTTCTTAGCAAAATAAAAAAATTTAAAAAAAATTATTTTGGTTCAGTCCATATCCATGAGATCCTTTTCTCCTACATTTGATTAATCCATCAAACTCATTTGGTTTCGCAATTCACAAAACCGTGGCGCTGGTATCGGTTTTGTTAGCATATCCGCTAGTTGTTTATCTGTGGGAATATATAGAAGTTCAATTAGATTCTTTTCTATTTGTTCCCTTGTAAAATGATATTTTATATCTATATGTTTTGTTCGTTTATGGCATGAAGGGTTTTTTGGCAATACATATACAACCTTGATTATCCTCATATATCTTAATTGGATTTTCTATTTTAAGTTTTAAGCTAGTCAATAAAGAATTTAGCCAAATTGCCTCCCTTACTGCTTCAAACAATGCCATATACTCAGCTTCTGTTGAAGAAGCAGCTACTGAACTCTGTTTTCTCGTATTCCAACAAATCATATTCGAATCAAACATTTTAAAGATATACCCAGTTGTGCTTTTCCTGTCTGACTCACTGCCTCCCCAATCTGAATCTACGTACCCTACCAAAATGTTATTAAAATGTTTATTTCTTTGAAAAATTAATTTCAAATCTATTGTACCCTTTAGATATCTTAAAATTCTCTTAAGGCATTGCCACAACTCTATACTATTATTTTCACAGTAACGACTTAAAAGATTTATTGATGCACTCAGATCTGGTCTTGTACATATCATAATGTACATCAAACATCCTATTAGATTTCGACAAGGTGCATCGCATTTTTCATCTGAATTTAAGGCCATATGATTAAGCTTATTGGGAAGAGGACATTTTACTGGATTGCAATTTTCCATATTAAATTTTAAAATAGTATTCTTTATATATGCAGATTGACTTAACTTTATTTGATCTTTAGTTCTATCTACTTTTATACCTAAGAAAAATTATAATTTCATTTAAATCTGTCATTCTAAACTTATTCATTAGATATGATTTAAAATTTTTCATAGTTTCTTTATTCTTTGTTGATATTACCAAGTCATCTACATATAATAGAGCATAAATATTTGAAGATATATCTCCTTTATCAAGAAGATATATACATCGATCTACTGGTGAATTAACAAAACCAATTTCTTTCAGTACTAGCTCAAATTTATCGAACCAGCACCTTGCAGCTTGTTTTAAACCATATATTGCCTTATTTAATTTACAAACTTCATTTTTCTCATTTACCAGACCATCCGGTATTTTCATATAAATTTCTTCTTTAAGTGTACCATTCAAAAAGGCTGTTTTAACGTCCATATGGTGTACCATAAGATCATACTGATTAGCAATAGATATAATCAGTCTAAAACTAGAAATTCTTGCTACAGGTGCAAAGGTTTCATTATAGTCAATTAAGTATTCTTGTGTAAAGCCCCGAGCCACGAGTCTCGCCTTATATTTAATCGGATGACCAAATTCATTCCGTTTTATTGTAAATACCCATTTACAATCCACAACATTTTTATTTTCGGGTAATTGCATAAGTGTCCAAGTGTTATTTAGTAAGTGTGAATCTAACTCTTCATTTATTGCCTCTTCCCATTTTTCTTTATCACCTCTATTCTTTATTTCATTAAATGAAGTTGGTAGATTATCTAATGAACACTGAGCATTCATTACACAATTATTTAACATATCCCAATAAGACAATTTCGGCTTATTCCTTATCCGTTCACTTTTTCGAATTGTTTCATCATTTATCTTTGAATCATTTGATTCAACATCACCAGATACATCTGGATCGGCATTCTTTTCTGTTACCATCTTTCTTTGACTTCCATCTGAAACTCCATCAGAACCGTCACTATCAATTTCCAATTGATCATCAATTTGATTGATTTTATTGAAATCATCATCTAAACATTCGATAATCCCATTATCGAAATCAATGATTTCTTCACTTAACTCAACTCTTGAGTTTATCATGTTATTTTCATCAAAAATAACATCTCTAGCAACTGAAAATCTTCCTGATTTTCCATCCCACACCTTATATCCATTCGGTTCATATCCAACTAATATACCCTTCCACGATTTCTCATCAAACTTTCTTTTTCTAA